TTTCCTCTAAGTATAACAGCTTCAGCCCCAGGGTGGAGAGTGGTGCTGGCTAGGGCAGGATTTTGCATATGCTATTCTTCCGGAACTGTATCAGAGAGACCTTCCTGGTTCTGCTAACAAACAAAACTAATCACAACAAAAACCAGGTCTCCAGGACACAATTGTAGCATCCTCAGTCCCTGGGAAAAGGTAGAATCATATACTCGGTGACCTGATCAAAACCACCATTCCTGGAAACTATGGGGGACACAGAGCCAAGGCACCAGGATGAGCGAGTGGATGGGGTATAGAGGGCACAGAGACCCTGATACCTTCTCTTTTGAGGTTCAGCATTATCAGAATCTTTCCAGAAGGAATGAGATATCCCTGACCAAGCACTGTTTCACCTTAAAAAGAAGGAACTTCCACAATGAGACAACAGAGATGAATCTGGAGGAATTTATGCTAAGTGAAGTAAGCCAGTCACAGAAGGACAAACACTGCATGATCTCACTTGCACGAGGTATCTAAAATCATCCAACCCATGGAAGCAAAGAATATATTACAGTTGCTGAGGGATGGGGGAGGGGAAGCAGGGAGCTGCTAATCAGTGTATACAAATATCAGTTATACAAGATAAATGAGTTCTAGAGAGCTGTACAACATGGTGCCTACAGATGACAACACTGCATTGTGCAGTCAAAGATCTGTTCAGAGGGTAGATGGCATGACAAATGCTCTTACCGTAATAAATTTTTTTAAAAGGAGGAAGGAAGGAAGGGAGGGAGGGAGGGAAGGAAGGAGGGAGGGACGAAGAAAGAAAGGAAGGAAGGAAATGCAACATTGTAACATCCACTTGGGAATGTACTGCCAGTTAAGGGGATGTCTTAGTTGGTGGGCTGGCTCTGGCCAGACGGTCTTAGGGCCCCACCCCCAGGGCAACATGCCATGCTTTGGGAAACAGAGGCTATGGACTGAGTATGAATGAAGTTACCTGGTGCCCAAGGATGCAGCACCTCTGCTGCTTGTGCAGAATGGCCAAGAAGGGCACCGCCACCAAACCAAGCATCCTCTGGGTTGTTCTCAACAGCGACACCATGAGGCAGCACCTAAAACCACAGGCAGATGAGCTGGTCCTAGCTTCATGCTCTCTCTTTGCCTGGCACGGGAAGCAGAAAGGGTTTGGAAGTAGAACTCTGTCACTCTTCGATGAGAATGGAAGGAGGCATATTCCAGTGGAAGATGCTAGACCTCTTGGTAATAAAGTAGAGCTGAGGTGTCTTTTTTAATCAGAAAAATAAAGGAGATATGAACATATTTGAGCACCCTGAGCCAGAGCGCAAGTGCTGAGTTTATTTTGGATTATCAGAGTTTGGGGGAAAGGAGGTAAGGTAGAGGTTTAAATTATGCATTTATAACCACTTGCAGCAGGAATAAAGGACTATGCCTCCTTTATGGTCAAACCCAGCCCTGACATCCTTCCAGGCACTAAGGAAAGCAACCAGAGGGACAATCGGCAAGGGAGACGCTGTGCTTCAGGGGAAGAATGTGTGCCTTTTAAATTTCTTCACATCCTCCTCAAAATACCTCTGTGTTTGCTGTTCTGTAGACAAGCTTGGAGGCCCCAACCACCCTAAGAGGAAAGGAACCAGTCAGCTTCTCTAAAAGGGAAAGGAGAAAAGAAAACAAAGTCAAAAGGGAAGGCTAACGTTGCATCTCTTCTGTGTGAAGGCACAAGACAGGAGAGGGACAGGTTTTGCACAGAGGCACTGCTGGACCCTGATGGAGGAATCCGTGTGCGCCGAGTGGGAAACGAACAAGTGCAGGGGAGTTTTAATGAGCTGAGGCAGCTCTTTGATAGTTGCTGATTCCGAGATGGAAATGGAGCATTTGAGAGTGTGAACTTTCAAAGAAAACTGTCTTTAGGAAGCAATGTTACCTCTTGCTGTCCCTTCCCTTTTGGAATACTCAAATTAGTCCTTAAGTCATCCTCTCCTGGATGCCTCCCTGTCTCTGGGTGGGTAAGCGTCGGGGCACCTGTCACGTGAAACCCCGCAGAAGCCCCAGCTCCAGGGAGTACCAGCTGCTGCTGGGGACGGTAGGCACTGCAAGGACCTCCCCGGGATGGATGAAGGAGGCACGGAATAAAAGGGATAGGATTAAAGGCAAGATTCATAAAACCTGATGAAAGAAAACACCCCTTAGCCTACCCAGCAGCTTAAATTACATTTACCACATCTGACAGGGAGCAGGTAATCATGAGTAATAAGTCCTGCGCCTGGAAAGAAATTATGGGCTAAATCACTTACCGATGGGTCCAACCGGGGAAGGTGCTGATTCACCCTCCCGGGGAAGTCTCAAGACACGGTATAAAACCCGTCAATCCCGCTGACACAAATTTCACTTGGTAGTGCCCCTGGGTGGTGTAGAATCTGGATTTCCAAACGGCTTTCTAGTCACAAACACCTGCACTCCGCTGCGTGGTAGCTGTGGTCACGACATTCCCACCTTGGTGTGACCAGGCATAGTCCTCATCGGGCAGGACTGTCCTGCTGCTCCCCCAGGACATTTCTGCCCCATCAGCTGAGGCCACTCTCTGCCACTGAGGCTGTCTCAACACAAATAATTCCTGGAGCCTTCCTAGCAGGTCAGTCTGAGCCCCAAGCAGCACCCAAATCACCCTGTTATCTGCACGTTCCTTCTGCCATCTCCCCCACAACACCCAACTTCCCAAACTCCCAGGTATTTCTCACTGCAGCTCAGCAAAAAAGCAATCTGACATACCTAATTCACACCAACCCTCCAAGGATTCTCTAAAGATTTTATTTATTTATTTATTTGAGAGCAGGGGGAGGGGCAGAGGGAGAGAGAGCATCTCCAGCAGACTCCGGGCTGAGTGCAGATCCTGACACGGGGCTCGATCCAATAACCCTGAGATCATGACCTGGACTGAAATCAAAGAGTGGAACGCTTAACCGATTGAGCCACCCAGATGCCTGAAGGATTCTCTATTTTGAGGTAATGCTGATGAACTGCTCATGGAAGCTTTCAGCCTGTACCGGAGCCATCTCAGACCTCCTCTGGAGCTCGTGTGCAAGACCAACCTCATGAGAAGAGAAGGGAGAGGCTCCATCACCTCTCCCACCTCCCGGCCACTGCTCATTGGGCTCACCCACCACTCCATTCCCCATACAGCTTCCTGTCTTGAGGCCGCCTGGCTTGGACCCATCAGTAAAGAGGACAACATCTACCTTTAAGACAGGGAGGAGCTGTATCTGTCTGGCTTTAAGCCAAGAAAGATCCTAGAAATGCAGTCCTGCTCCTAGAAGAGGGATCTCTTCTGCTCAAAGACTAAAGGGGCACCAGGAACTTGAGTTTCAAATCCAGGGGTCTTCACAGGAGAGCTGTTCAGAATCTCTGCTCCCTCCCAACCTGCTCCTATGCTTCTTCCCTGTGTCCTGCTTCTCAGCCACATTCATCTCCAGCAGGGGGTTCTTTTAGTCTCTGGCTGATTGACTTCCCCAGATTATTGCTGGGTGGAGGACCTGCCTCATCCTTCTAGCAAGCGTCCCCTGCTTCTAGCCCGTAGCTAAGAAGGTCTCAATGGAACAGAGGTCTAGGAGTGAGAGAGTCCTTGGAGAAACTGCATTGCAGGACACCTGACTCCTCCAAGGACACGACTGCTCATCTATATTCTTTCTTATGTAGCAAGTTACCTGCTGAGAATTAAAAAAAAAAAAAATAGAGGGGCATTACCTCCAGAAAAATCTTCAGCATGAGAAGTTTCTACAGATAATGAGGACTTTTAGTTTTCTTTGGTCCCTACTAGAACTAGTTTCAGGAAAGAATGTGATGCCATTCTATCAGAGTAAAACTTAAACTGACCAGAAACGCAGCTCACCAGAACCTTCAAAATTTGACATCCCCCCCCTTGCTCTCTGTTCTTTAGAAATGGGGAGTTTATAAGCAAACAAGCACATAGTCACACCCTCATCTACTTGTCCACCTGTGAACATTCACTGAGCGCACAGGATTTTGTCAGAGACGGTGTCCGAAGCCTCCTGGCTCTACCCCAGGGACAAAATACAGGTGTTGTCAAAATGAGGCCCCATCTAAACCTCCAGCCCAGGATCCAGCCTGCGTATCTGAAAGCAGCACGCTCATTGCCTCAGGCGGTAAAGACTCTGCTTGTCAGAATCTGCTTGCTTCCATGAGCAGCTGAATTCAACCCCAAGTTTTAGAAGGACATACATCAAATTATTGACAGTGACAGTTGGGGGCAAGTGGGTGCAGAGTGAAGGGGGCAGCTACCTAATTCTATATTCCTTAAAAAAAAAAAAACCCCACAGAGAACGTGTTCATGGATTCCTTCAAACATTAAAATCAATTTTTTTAAAAATGGCCTAAAAGGCAAAGGAAGCCCCTGTTTTCAACAACAGGGCCAAGCTTAGCAGGGTTTCTGCTGGAGGCTGCGATCCAGAAGCATGGCTGGGCGGGAGGTGCCCACTTGCCTTAGCCACTGGCACGACTGAATAGCCCGGAACAGATCCCGGCCATTCTGGAAGTTCTCTTCAGGGCTCAGTCTCTCTCGCTGGTCTCTCCCAGACTTCAGACTTTGACAGTCAAGAGTCTCTCTATCTGCAGCCCCCCTCCCCCCGAGTTAACCCCCTGAGATCCCTGGCAGCAGCTCAGAGCTTGCTGAGTGGGCACGAGCCTTCACGCTCACCTGGCCTCAGGTGACCCTCTGTGCTTACTAAGCACCTGTCACAGCATCCCCTGCGTTAAAGACGGGAACCTTCCTCTGCACAAGAGCCTGACCAGCTTCGGAAGAACCCTGGAGTCCGAGGGCAGAGGTCAGTTTCTGGCCAGTGGGCTCCACCACCTGCCCTCCCCTCGGCCTCCGCACCCCCCCCCCCCCGCCCAGTAGAAACTCAGAAACCGGGAGCTCGGCCCCTGAAGCAGCCGCAAAGCTTCTCCCGGCCAGCTCACTCACCACCGCCCAGCTGCCGGCGCCCGCCTACCTGCAGATGTAATTCGTCTTGCAGGAGTCCTGCAAATTCAGGCAGTTGGGCTTCTCCCTCTCCTCGTAGGAGCACACGGGCACAATGGTCTGCCGCCTCCGCTCCGTGCACGCGATGTCCCGGCAGGAGCAGAAGAGCATCCCGTAGCTGTGCTTGGCCGGAACCTTGTCGAAGAACTGCCGCAGGGCCTTGTGGCACTTGCGCCGGTTGCAGACCTCGCCGGACATGCTGGTGGTGCACGGGGTGATGTAGGCGGACCTGTACTTCTTGCACGTGTCGTCGAGGTTACAGGCCTTGGCGGCGTCCAGGCAGTTGTTTCCCTTGGGAACGTGCTCCACTGCAGAGGAAAGAAAGGCAGGCGTGACCGCAGGGCTGGGCGCCCGGCTGCTCACGTGCGCGCTGTTCTAACAGGTCCGGCCGTGTCCCCGGCGATGCTGGGCGCTCGGATCAATGCTGCGTTTTGAAGCTCACAGGTAATGAGTTCCTGACAAGGACAACGTGTAAGGAGTGCAAAGGCTGGGAGCCCAGGGCAGCCCACAAGCCCCCAGCGCTCCCTTAGATGTATAATTAGGTGGGACCGAGTGGGGCCCAAGAAGCCAAAGGAGCTCAGGCACCTGCCTGACTGCGTATACACAAGGCAACAGGAGAACGAGTTTCCAGCTCCTGGTTGGTAAACTGAAATTAGAATAAAAGAAAAAAGCAACAAATTATATACTTGTTCATTATACATTATATAAAATGATATGCTGAGTGTAAGTATAATTGCCATGCAATCCTCCAAGAATATAATTATGTAATAAATGCATATAGTACATGCTAATTACTATATGATTACAGAGTAATTACATGGTTATTTGAGCCCAGAAGACAAAATATTATGCCAGCTCTCTAAACAGGAAGAAGCAACTACAACGAGGCTGTGTTTAAGTTCTAGCTCACAGGCCATTGGAAGAAAACCAGAATAAATTACATGAAAATCTGCAAACCTCAGTTACCACTTAACTTGCCACATACAAGATGTGGGATCTAGAAGTATTGAGGCTGCAAACTAGAAAAATTCAGCTAGGATTCTGGATAGGATTTCAATGGGCTTACAAACCATAGGCCTCAGGGATCTCACAAAACATATGTTGCCTTCCACCCAAGCCCGCTGTGCTCGTGCTCAGAGGGAACAGGGCTGTCCACTGCCACGCTGGCCACTGTGTGGCCTGGAGACAGAGCATAGAGGAGGCAGGGCCCGCTGCAGTAGCCAGGCGGACTGGCAGGCAGGACCAGGCCCAATGCCACGAGTTAAAAGATGAGTAGACAAGGGAAATGTAGCTTGACACCATGATGCAGGTGTTTTCACAGGGAGGTAAGTGGAAAAAACTTCCAGGGCCAGGTTCTAAGGTGATCCATGGAAAATTGATCATTAGGTGTAGCACTGACCCTCTGCAGCCAGCAAAGAAGTAGCAGACCACCCCACTCAATTGTAGGAATTGTCTCCCCCCACCCTTCCATGAATTTCCTGCTCAGGCCTCAGGCCCCTGCTTCAGTTCTGGAACCCCCTTTCAATCTCTTTGTGCCCCAGTCGATGGGGGCCATGAAGGCATTTGGGAAATGACAAGAGGCTGGAGAACTGATAAGAGTGGAGAAAGAGTCCAAGTGGGTCGGGTGGGTCTGAAAGACAGGGCATTGCATTTAGTGTATATCCAAAGGGCACATGGCATATTATTCAACCTTAAACAAAGAAGGAAATCCTGCCATAGGTGTGACAACAGGGATGAACCGTGAGGACATTATGCTAAATGAAATAAACCAGTCACAAGAGGACAACTACTGTATGATTCCACTTACAGGAGGTTCCTAAAACACTCAAGCTCAGAGAAACAGAGAGCACAATGCTAATAGCCAGGGGCTGGAGGAGAGCGACATGGGGAGTTGCTATTCAAGGGGCATCAAGTTTTAGTGATGCAAGATGACTAAATTCTAGAAATCTGCTGTCTAACATCATACCCACCATCAGCGGTACTGTATTGTACACTTAAAAATCTGTCGAGAGGGTAAATCTCATGTTAAATGTTCTCACTACAATTTTTTTTTTCTTAAGTGTAAATCAGTGAAGGGCACACAAAGCAAGTTTACATTTCATGGAAAGAAAAAGACTCCCTGTTTTACTGATGGTGCGTCTTGCTTTAAGAAAGCCCAATATGCAAAAGTCTGAAATCACCAAATTATACCCTGGCACCACGAGCAGTACCTTATCATGCCTCAGGTTCAGGTTCCTGCAAGGACATCTGAATCCAACAGTTTAATGTGAAAGGCAATAAACAAGACATTCAGCCCTTCTTGGGTGAGCAGTACAAGAGGCCAGAGGCTGCACATAGATCCCTGCTGGTTTAACAAGCACACCTGGTACATTTTCTCCATCATGACCTTCCCAGACTAGCTTCTCTCTGGCTCCTCTGTTTTCACACTCAAGCTCCTCCGGACTCAAGAAATGAAATATTCACCATGTGCTCTGATAGGATCACCAGGATCTACAGGCCTTGGTAACACTTCCTGTCCTTTCCTCTTTTGGGACTTTTAACATTGTGCTCTTGGGCCCATCCACAACAGTGATTTATATTCTCAAAGGTCTAGAGTTCCCCAGGAGATTTCTAAATTATCCATTTTTCATGAGCATCTAAAATAAATTAATATGACCAATAATCAAATTCTGGATCATCTGGATTAGGCCCTGAAGGCTAGATACTGGTACATAATTTTACTGCCTGCATTTACACTTGTCCTGGTATTGAATGGTGCTTTATGATCTCTGGCTAAAAAGAAAAGAATAGAGGCTCAGAGGTGCACTTAATACTTAAATGACGTAGCCACTGATATATGAACAAACAGTTCACAGAAGTTCAAATGGAGGAAAAAGGCAGAAGAATTAAGTCATCACATCACACCCAGTAACACAGGTCTGCTCAACTCAAAACAACTCATGCTGAAACAGGAGTATATTCCAATTGTAAGCACCAATTTAGCTTCAGAAAAATGGTATTACCCCTTGCATTAATGTTATTAACTTGCATTTCATTGTTCACAAAGTTCTGTTCATATTTAATTTGTGTATATTGTTTTTATAGTTGTGTAAAATTACAAAATAAAAGTTTATAGTTCTATGTTCATAAGTGCCAAATAAAATTATAGTAAAAATAATAAAACTCAACATATGAGGTCCAGGAAATATAAATTTCTCTCTTAAAGTAGTTTGTATAACATATAAGTTTAAAAAAAAAATTGATCTGGAGAGAAGCTCCTTGACGTGGGTCTTGGCAATGAATTTTTGGATATGACACAAGCAACAACATCAAAAATAAACACATGAGATGACATCAAACTAAAAAGCTTCTGTACAGTAAAGGAAACCATTAATACCATGAAAAGGCAGGCTATGAAATGGGAGAAAATATTTGCAAATCATGTATCTGATAAGGGGTTAATATCCAAAATATATAAATAACTCATACAACTCAGTAGCAAAATAATAATAATAATAATAATAATAATAATAATAATAGTTCCATTTAAAAAGAGCAAAGAACCTAAATAGACATTTTGCCAAAGATGATATTCCAATGGCCAACATGTACCTGAAAAGATGCTCAGCATCACTAATTATTAAGGAAATGGATATCAAAACCACAGTGAGGTATCACTGTACACCTGTTAGAATGGCTGACGTCAAGACAAGAAATAACAAATGCTGGTGAAGATGTGGAGAAAAGAGAACCCTGGGCACCAGAGGTAGGATTATAAATTGGCACAACCATTATGAAAGAGTGTGGAGGGCGCCTGGGTGGCTCAGTCGTTAAGTGTCTGCCTTCGGCTCAGGTCATGATCCCAGGGTCCTGGGATCGAGTCCCACATCAGGCTCCCTGCTCAGCAAGAAGCCTGCTTCTCCCTCTCCCATTCCCCCTGCTTGTGTTCCTGCTCTCGCTATTTCTCTCTCTGTCAAATAAATAAATAAAATCTTTAAAAAAAAAAGACAGTGTGGAGTTTCCTTGAAAAATTAAAAATAGAATTATCATGTGATCCAGCAACTCCACTTCTAGGCATACATCTGAAGGAGACCAAATCATTATGTCAAAGAGATATCTGAACCCCCATTTTCACTGCAACATTATTTATAATAGCCAAGACATTGAAACAACTTAAGTTTTGTCAATAGATGAATGGGTAAAGAAAACGTGGTGTATATACACACAATGGAATAATATTCAGCTGTAGAAAAGGAAATGCTGTCACGTTAAGTAAAATAAGTCAGACAAAGACAAATACAGTATGATCTCACTTTTATGTGGCATCTAAAAAAAACCAAAAAAACAATACACAACACCACCAAAAAAACTAAAATCATAGAAAAAAAAAAAATCAGCTTTGTAGTTACCAGAGGCAAGGGAAGGTGAACTGAATGAAGGTAAGTCAAAAGGTACAAACTCTCAGTTGTAAGATAAATACATAATGGGAAATGTCATGTACAACATGATGACTATAGTTAACAATGTTCTATGTTATATTTGAAAACTGCTAAGAAAGTAAATCCTAAAAGTTCTCATCACACACACAAAGACATTTTTCTTCTTTTTTTGTGTGTGTATCTATATGAGGTAGAAGATGTTAACTAAACTTGTGACCATCATTTTGCAATATATGTAAGCCAAGTCATTATGCCATACATTTCAAACTTATACAGAGCTGTATGTTAATTATATCTTAAGAAAACTAAAAGAAAAAAAATTGGCCCAGTGTATTCCTGCTTTATTATAATAATGTCAGAAGGCTTCCTTTTTAAAGTTGGTAAAACTATTTACACTCCTAATTTTTTCTTCTTAATGTTATCAAAAAGAAAAGCAATATTTCAAAGGAAAATCTCTGTACAAAGTGGGAATAGAAAGCATCATTTTATGTCTAAATAAATTGCTTAAATTTTACTTCATTTAGCAAACTCACTTTCAGCTGATTCTGTTTTCATCAATACATAACCCTGCCAGAGCACCATCTCTTTACCATTATTTCAGAGCCTGTGACAAATTCCAGAATGCACAAACCTGGAACATTCAGAGAAGCAAAAAAACCCTATGAATTGATGTCCAGCTCACAGATCAATATGTGACTGGCTTTTTGTTTCTGATTCTCATTCACACAAAATATTCTCATGACCCTTTTCCCAACTTTATATGTGAGGCCAGTCTCACCCAAATAGCAGAACCTGATGAAGACAAAAGAAGAAAATTACAGACTAATATTCCTTACATAGACTCAGAAAGTTCAGTAGATAGCATTTAGCAATATGTTAAAAGGATAATG